TTGAATTTTCATACAGCATAATGCCATTTGTCAACACTTTAAAAAAATATTTAACAAAAAAACAGCATCAGGCTTCAGCTTCTCATCATTTTCCTTCAATAACATATGATTCTTTGAAGTAGTTTTACATATTAAATGGACCTTTGGTCAGTCCATTTAAAATATCTAGCCCAGGGGCTGGAGCAGTAGTATAGCGGGTAGGGCGTTTGCCTTACACACAGCTGACCCGGGATCAATTCCCAGAATCCCATATGGTCCCCTGAGTACCGCCAGGAGTAATTCCTGAGTGCATGAGCCAGGAGTTACTCCCGTGCATCAGCGGGTATTACCCCAAAAGCAAAAACAAATAAATTAAATTAAATTAAATATCTAGCTAGCCCTGCTGCAATTTTCAAACTTATGTTGCCAACAGAAATGTTTTCATTGCCAATGTTTCATCCACTTTCCTTTGCCTTAAAGATTCATTACCTTTCACTGTACCACAAAAGACACATTTTATTCTGCAAAAGCTTTTCAGCAGAAGGAACACTCATAGGTATCTGCAAATACTATGCAGCCCTCAAATAAAAAGCGATCCTTCAGTTTCACGTGTCATCATGCACGTGTTATCTGCATGACGTCTGGATTTTGTTCAGCAGAAATATCAAGACAGGATGTGCAACCTCTAGGCAAATGCATACAATGTATACAATCATATATTTTATATAATTGTATTCAATTCTTGTTAGAATATATTGGCAAAACCTGACACCTCTCCATGGAACCATGCTTTCATGAAACTATTATAATGCTTTTGCCAGTTTCAGTGGCATTTTGAAAGGAATCAACAGTTTAACAATTCCTTCTATGATGCTTCAAATATTTTTTAGCCAATGTTCAGTTCTAGCTGTAGTATTGTAGGAAAAAATGTACTCAGGAATAGGCATCAACCACACTTTACGTTATTTTATTTTTGCTTTTTGGGTTACACCCGGTGATGCACGGGGGTTACTCCTGGCTCTGCACTCAGGAATTACCCCTGGCGGTGCTCAGGGGACCATATGGGATGCTGGGAATCGAACCCGGGTTGGCCGTGTTCAAGGCAAATGCCCTACCCGCTGTTCTATCGCTGCAGCTCCACTTTATGGTATTTTTAATGAATGAAGTATTTCCTATTTGGACCAGTGAACCTAATTTCCGGTTATCCCCATAAGCATTATGCCAAGTGTTATGTTCATAAGTAAGCAATATGCCAAGGGAAGTGTCCATTTCTCCCCTCGACGTAGGCTTCCAGAACTGCTAGTGTCTTCTGCAGAAATACTTTTGCATTAAACAATGTATTTGTTTCTTCAATCATTTTAGTACATAATTTTATCAAGAATAGTTTGTACAGTGCAAAAGTGATCATCAATAAAAAAAAAAAGTGACTCCACAATACTCAAGTACCACTATACCTCTTCTTACTTGCTGCTGTTCTTCATCATGATCATCTCCTAAATCGGATTTGAAACATTCTTCCTCCATGGAAGGCATATTTATGATTCTAAGAGTTCATCTTCCTCGCAACCAGATTATATTTTAAATATAATAAAATAAAATACTGCAAGTATATAATAAGCTAACTCACACAAGTCAATAATCTGGAACAAAAGTAGCAACAGAAATGTTATCATTGCCAACATTCCATATTACACTTTAGTGCAGCAGCATCCAACAAAGTGGACTGTTATTACTGAAACCCCCAGATGGCAGAAACATGTATTTCAGTTTCACATCAATGTGTCAAATCTGCAGATTTGCATCTTTACGTCCCACACATGAGTGAGATTACTTAGCACTGCACTGTCCTCCCGTTGTTCATCGATTTTCTCGAGTGGGCCCAGTAACATCTCCATCATGAGACTTGTTGTTACTGTGTTTGGCATATCGAATACATCACAGGTAGCCTGCCAGGCTTTGCCGTACGGGCGAGATACTCTAGGTAACTTGCTGGATCTCCGAGAGGGGCGGAGAAATCAAAGTAGTCCAGATAAAACACAGGCTCTCCTCCCTGACTGGGAAAACTATGATAATAAATATGCCAGCTCTTCCTTAGAAATAAGAACATCCAATGACATGCCAGTCAGGATCCCAGCAGTGGTCTACACCAGGGTTTCCTAAACTTTTCCACAGTGACCTCTGCCCTGGGATGCAGTCTGAGGGAGAACTACCATGAACACCTCGGATCCGTGACTGATGAACTTTGAATTGATTTTTGGTTGGCTCTTGTTCAGAAACCTTTCACTGTGGTCAGGCTTTTTTTTTTTTTTTAAGATACTCCCCCCACTCCCTCCCCTTCATTTTACGAAGTTGGAGTCTGGGGCTGCTAAGAATGGGCTTTTCCTGGCAGTCAGGAGCGGGCCAGCTGCACCACAGGCAGCCCCCATCCCGCTGGACCCCTGTGCCAACAGTGGTCTCAGCAGCCACCACCAGGGCGGAAGGTGGGGCACCCAGCAAGCTGCCGCAAAACGTCCCGAGGGGCCGCTGCCCCATGGAGGCGCCGGGGTGTGGAACACAGCGGCAGCCTGTGAGGGAGTAGGGCCAGCTCCCTGCGCCCCTCCCGCCAGCAGCTTCTGCTCCATTCTCCCACCAATAGGCCCACAGCTAAGGGGCCACTTGGCCAAGCTGACCACGCACCCCACTGCAGTGCTTAGAGCTCAGTACTTAGAGCTTGGTACTGAGAACTCAGTACTGAGGGTTTGGTACTGAGAGCTGAGTACTGAGACCCAGTGAGGAAGTACTGCTTCCTCCTGCCATCCGTCAACAGTCCTGGCCCTCCGATACAGCCTAGGCAAAAATAGCCCCAGCACTGTGGCCAGATTCCCCAAACCCCCTCAAGCTGATGTCCCAGGCTGTCTAGAACCCACAGGCCTGTGGGGTGGGGACTGGGTGGCCGCCACTGCTTGGGGGCATGGGCAGCTTGTGCTGAGTTCAGCAGAAACATGCCTGGTCACCCACTAAGAATAGCAGTGACCTTTTAGGGGGACACAGCAAGCCCTGCTCTTGCTACATGCCTTCCCCTCCCCAGGTCCCTCCCTGTCCCTGCCCAGTGTCGCTGAGAGTCCCAGGGGCCCAAGTAACATTCCCATCCTTCAGCAGTGACGCCCACCCCACCGCTTAGAGAGCACCCATGAATTTCAGTAACTCCTTCGGTGCCCGGAACCCCACAGGGTCCCCCGAGATCGTCAGGAGTGACCACTGAGTGAAGAGCCAAGAGTGAGCTCTGTGAACCCCTCACTGTGACTCTAAAACCAAATTAATTTAAAAAGTAGAAAATGCAGGGCTGGAGCGATAACACAGCGGGTAGGGTGTTTGCCTTGCATGCGGCTGACCCGGGTTTGATTCCCAGCATCCCACATGGTCCCCTGAGCACCGCCAGGAGTAATTCCTGAGTGCAGAGCTAGGAGTAATCCCAGAGATTACTTAAAAATTTAGTATAGGCCAGAGACATATAGGCTAGTACAGGGGATACGGCGCTGACTTCACACCCATTTTGATTCCATAAATGATCCCATTTCCATCAGGGGGCAAACAACATATGGCCCCTGAGCATTACCAAGAATCCTCCCTGAGCACAGGGTCAGGTGTAAGTCTTGAGCTCTGCTATATGGCTCCACCCGCCCCCCCCCCCCCCAAACAAAATAAAACAACAAGACAAAGTAACATTTTTTTTTGGCTTTTTGGGTCACACCCAGCGATGCTCAGGGGTTACTCCTGGCTCATACACACAGGAATTGCTCCTAGCGATGCTCAGGGGACCATATGGGGTGCTGGGAATCGAACCTGTGTCGGCCATGTTGGCTGTGTGCAAGGCAAACGACCTACCTGCTGTGCTATCGCTCCAGCCCCACAAAGCAACATTTTTAAAGGTCCGAGAAGAAATGTTTTAAAATATTCCTAAGTGCAAAAGATGTGTGAATGGTAACAGAATCCACTGACACATAACTGACCCCCTCTGACCTTCCAAGGAAATAAACACACTTGCACATACATACCCACAGGTATAAGCATGCACAGAATATATTCAAGGGGCAGGTATACATGCATGTGTAAACAAGGGACACATACAGAGATGCATACTCAGGCATCACACACACACAGAAGCACTTTCATCTAGTGTAGTAAGGACTGCCACAGAAGCTTACCAAGTTTGTGATTTTATTATATTCTGAATAAAGATGATATTTAGAGAAAGAAAATGGCTATACAAAGAATTTATAGAACATTCATTTACATACTGGATATGTTTTTCACGATAGAAGAGTACAAATACCCACTAATATAAGGCAGCTCAGGAGACTTGGGAAGGTCTTCAATGGTGAGAGGTCACGTGGAGACACTAAATGTGATTCAGACTTATCTTGGTTCTAAGTTAACACTGGAACTATGTGGTATAGTTAAGAGCAGGTGGCCTGGACCCTGGCTATGACACTGGGACTCAGCCCTCACGAGCTCCCAGGATAGTACCCCTATTCCCACTGGCACCCCAAGGTCAGATGCCTGAGAAAGCTCCTTACAATAAACTGGGCTGGCACAGGCATCAGAGCGCAGCCTCCCTAGAGTGAAAAGAGGTCCATGGATTGTCCTGGGTGCATATGTAACACTTCGTGATTAGTCCACTACTGGACATCAGGAACTGAACTGGCTTCCTTTCATTCCTCAGGGAGAGCCATTTGCTTGGACAAGCTGCCTGATGTCCTTGACATCTGAGTGTGTCAAGAGCCGGCCTTCAGTGTCAAAGCAAGTGGCAGTGGCATCCTGAGGGTCCACACAAGAACTTCGGTGGGCTGGGGTTCCAGGATGCCGGTATGGGGTTTTGGCTTGTGATTCTCCACCTCATACTCCTCTTCTGCTTTGATTTCAAAGCGTGTGCATTCTTCCTTAGAAGGGCAAGGACCTGGCCTTTGGTCTGGACCAAACTTGGGTACGAGCCATCTCAGGGTGAGGCACCTCTAATCAACAGTACAAACCTACACTCCCTTTGGCCGGATCCTGGCAGTCAGTGACAAGATAGGCTGGGCAGAGCCCACAGCAATGAAGGTTCCTCGCTCACAGTGGGGGGCTCGGAGCCTTCTGCTATGCGCCAGGACATCAGGACCTCGGGGACAGTCTCTTCGATGCCACGTAAGCAGATGCTGGGGAGAAGGTCCACAATGACTAAGGCAAACATTTGGCACAGGAATGAGGCACTTGTGTTCAGTACATTAGTAAGAGCTGAATAGTGGACCCATCTGTCTGCTTTTCTGCACATTTATATACACAATACACCCACCGAGATCAGCTAAGCTTATCTCTGCCCCACTGTGAAACTGAGAAGTCACCAGACACAGTTCCAAAGCCCAGAATGGACAATTGCTGGTGATTCCTGGGTAATCGAAGAACTAGTTCTCGCTGTAGAGAATAAAAATGGGCAGAGCATGATGAACCAAGTGCTGGGACACACTTGGGCCAGATAAACTGATTTTATATTCAGAGCCACCTTGCAGGGCCCTTGCTTGAGGAATGTCATGGGCACTGAGTGTTCATATCAGTGTAAGCCTGATTCAGCAAGAGCAGAAAAGTGACACTCAAAAACGGCCCAAAGGGATTAAGTGTTAGTCTTTCCCTCCCTCTGAAGATGCCAGAGGCAGCTGTGCAATTGGAGCCAGTGGGGGCAGAAGAACAGGATAAGGTCTTACAAAGGTCTGGGGTCTTCTCAGGAACCTCTGGTGGCCCCAAGATGAATAGTAACAGAAATGCAGAGACATACTGGGTTTAAATTCAACTCCTTCCTACCCCTCTAGAACCTTCCTCACTAGAAGGGAAGTCATCTGAACTTGGCAAATACCCATAGGTAAGTCAGGCACCAGGTGGGTTGACTGGGGCCGAACCACCTTAAACTGGTGAAGGCCCAAGCACTGCAGAGGCAGCAGTTGGCAAGGACTCGGGCACATTCTCATGCCCAGTCCCCCAGCCCCCAGGACCAGAAGCTTCTCCCAGAATCCTGGTGGACTGGCAGGTATAGAACAGGACATGAGAACAGGATAGTGATGGGGATGTGGATGTTTATCCACATAAATAGTGTGGCATAATGAAGTATAAGTTAGATGGAAAAGGCACTTCCCTTCTGGCCTGTCTACACTTCTTTCTCCCCTGTCGAGACACCACCCAGTCGGTGAGAGCAGTGAGAGGAGCTGCCTCGCCAGGGGCTCCGGACACAAGTGCCCCTGGTGTTCACAGCCCCTTCCCTTCCCCCAGGACTTTGTGCTCCACAAAGGCCTGACTCAGCTGCCCCAACCCCTGAAAACATGCAGTCCCTTCTGAAGTGAAGGGCAGACTCCCCTGGAATGTTGGCTGGGCAGAAACCACGGCAATGGTGGTTCCTCGCTCCCTGTGGGGGGCTCAGAGCCTTCTCAGCAGCGTGAACTCAGCGTTTCCTCGCATGGTCCTTTAACTCTTCCAGTTAGAAGCCTGGTGCCCAGCTCCTTTCACCCAGGAAGTGCCGGGAGCGGGTGTCTTGTCTGTTCTCTTTGTAAAGGTGAAGCTCTTTCATCTGCTGGGCCCAGAGTTTCAGGGTCAGAGTCTGCTGTCCCAGCATCTCTGGGGTCTCCAGGCTGGCAGGGGCTCAGATCTTCTTCGGGGAGCCGATCATGACCTTTGACACAAAGTTGACAATGGCACTGGCGGGCTGCTCAGGGTCGTGTTCCGCAAACAGGTGACACACGTTGTCTGTGGTACTGCCCTGCTTCCGTGCCACAAATCCAAAGACTCTGCAAGAAGAGAGCTGAGGTCAGACTGTGCCCGCCACATGAAGCATGCCCTGGAGATGCTGCACTCTCCTGCCACTTCCTCCGGGGCCTTATCCAGTCCCTGCAGCAGCTCTTTCTGCCTCCGCAAGTGGGAGGCAGAGGGAGAGGGGCGTGGCCCAGAATGACCCTGTCTGAGAATGGAGCCAACACCCCCTCCGCATGCCTGCTGAAGCTGGCAGATGCTTATCATCGGGTGCCAGAGCCCCTTCTGTGCCTGGGTCCTGGCATCTCTCCAGGGTTCCTTGACACATCAGGGTGGTCACAAGGGTTTCACTGCTCTGGCTGGCTGCACAGCTAGGTCAGAAGGGAGCCCAGAGCCCAGAGGGGCTGTTACCCCCTGGGTGGGTATCTAGGCCTGGGAGGAATGCTCCAGGCCATTAAGAAACATTCCCACCCACCCCTGGTGCCAGAAAGATACCCAGGGCTTACCCTCCTCCCTGGAGATAGAAAACCTGAGTCACAAACCACAGGTAGTTAAATGACTTAAGAACACATCTATTTTTCTCAGAAGGAATCGAAGCCATTGTCTGAATAAGCTTTCAAGAGTTCTAAACTCTATATAATAGCACCATTATCTATTTCCAAATCCCTAGCAAACCTTCTAGAAAAAAAATGGATTTTTTTGCTTCAGCCTCGTAGCTTGCACAGCATAGAAGGGATTACCCTGATGGGGTGATGCATTTCACTCTGCAGAGATCAAAAACATGGCAGCGGGGAGCCCCCTCTGAGCACTCGACCAGACCTTGGGACAGATGAGGCACGTGGTAGGAGGGGAGGGTGCATGTGTGTCCACACATATGGTCATCATCAGAAACCATGAGTTCGGTGGAGGAAGACAGGAGGTGGACACGAGGCGTGTCTGGAATGCTCTGAGCCCACACTACCTCGGGCCTGCACCAGGCTAACTCCAAACCGAGATGGGAGAAACCCCACAGTGACTGCTTCTGTAAGTGCTGGAACTCTAACCCCCCCCCCCAACACACACACACACACACACACACACACACACACACACACAAACACACACACAGGATGTGCCTCCTTCTCCTCCTAACGTCAGGACAAGCTGCTGTGGGCCTCCCACAATAGCCGTGCACTGTGCCTCAGGCTTGCCACAGAGATCAGATGCTATACACGAGAAGACAGAATCCCCATAAAGGTGTTCTGGCACACAGACACTGATTTCTTTTTTTTTTTTTTTTTAAGCAAAACCAAAACCCGCTGCCAAAATGATATAATCGTTCCCTTATGAGGAGTCTTCTTGGGAAACCTGGAACAGAAAACTACTCTGGACTGAGGCCTCAAGCTAGCAGTGCACATGAACACATCCTGCCAACTTACTTTGAGCAAGGACCATCTGTGATCCACCTTGAGAATTAAAGAAAAAAGAAGATTATGTTAATTTTATCAGCTTACAGAGCAAAAGGAAGAACACAGCTGTTTAGTAAAAGAAGATTTCTTACTTCCTGTCCTGTGGATCCAACGCACAGAAGATCACACTGCTCACAGGATAGTGTCTCCGGAAGAACAGCCTATGGGGATGAGAGAGAATGCGTCTGTGGCCAGGACTTGGGTGTGAGAGGCCTACCTGGGAGGGTGCATGCAGAAGTATGTGCAGAGTGAAGAGACATCTGAGGTTGGCCTAAGTCTCCCTCCCACTCAAAGTCAGCTTCTATGAGAGATGGAAACACAGGGTGTAAGGGTGTAAGGACTGACAAGGTCCACAGATGCTCTGGAGACCACTAGTATGTACCAATTTTGACTAAACACCAAGACCAGTACTTCAGTCCAGATGAAAGATGAGGAAAACAAGCATCACAGGGGAAAGGACTGGCCCATACCCACCTACAGGAGGCAAAAACCCAAGCTCTCCTTCTGCAACTTCCCCAAATGCATCAGCTGAGAGTGAACCTCCCTCTCAGCCACCTTCTGTGCAGGTATGGATGGAAAGTCAGTCAACAGCTCAGCCCCACTGGCAGGAACCTGGGATTGGCTGAGTGTCCTGGAAGCTCTTGCCAATGTTCTTATGTTCAAGGGCCTGGCTCCCTTATCAATCACAACAGGGAGTCTTACAAATACAGTAACTGCTTAGAAAAATGCCTTTGATCCTGAGGTCAAAGACACTACAGGTGGGAAGAAAACACACCGGCCTTTGCCTGCTTCCTGCTGGGCAAACCTTCCTAGTGGAGCACCCCCTCAGCAGGAGCCAACTCTGACAATGCTGAGGGAGGCAATACGCTATGGTACACAGCACGGATGATGAATAGGCCCACATCTTTCAACAGGGTCTATCTGAAAATGCACTCCCCACAAGTCAGAAACAGTCACAGTCAAGCAAAGACAGGTGTGTTCTATCACCATGCGGTGTCTGAGCATTTGTATGTTTTGTGGTTTGGGGGCTACACCTGGTGTTTCTCACGGCTTACTTTTGCCAGGGACTGGGGATCATATGGATGTCGGGCTTAATTTCACGCTGAAAACTTAGAATATTTTTGCTTTTGCACATGATGCCAGTGTGTGTTTATTTGTATAATGGTCAAAGCTCTAAGTATGTATTTTTCCTCATTTCACTGATCCCTACAGTAGAAGCTTTTGGATGAAATATTAGTATTTTTCACATGGTTGCTAAAATACATGTGACACCCGGGTGAAGTGTAGACAGATGCTGGCTGCTGATCACATTAGCCTGGTGAATCACGACCCATCCAAGACATGGTCAGCTGCTGTGTGGGCCAGCACTCACTTCCTCTGGTTGTCCGTGAGGGTGATGCCCTGGGCTGACACCTTGAAGTGCACGATGGTGGACAAGGGTGGTGGCTCCTGGACCAGGGTGATACTCAGGGCCTTCTGGACAGCCTGGTGGCCTGTGAGGGACTCCATCTCCACGGAATTCAGGTACCATACATTGCAGGCTATAAAACAGTAAGGAAAGCAGCTTGTTAAGATCTGGGGGCAGTAGCTGAAGTTGGCTCTTGGCGCTGGTACTCATCGACACTTGAATATTGCATGAAAACTGGAGACAGACTTGCCTCACGGCCAATGCAAAGAAGAAATATATTAGTGGAGCCAAGAAGAACCCTCCTTGCCTCCCACTGGTCCCCGGACAATGTTCCCCCACTGCATCATACCGGGCTCCAGGGACACTTCGTGTGGATTTTGGAGAGACAAGTATCCAACCACAAATACAGTTAAGGAAATGGCCAGGGGAAGGTATGCAGTCTTGAGGTCTGCTCACTGCCCTGTGCTGAGTTCTTAGGAGGTAAATATCTCGGGAAACATCACTCAGAGGAGGAAATATTTGGCTGCGGCTCAGAAACAAGCCTGCGGGGGAGGCCTGCCCCTCCGTCACTGCCCCCGGCTGCTGAGCGAGTACAGGGCTGGTCTGCAGAACCACCTCTGGGAGGGAACAGCTGAGTGTGCATGAGGTTCAGTAAACAGACACTGGCCCAGAGCCTGGATGGTCACAGCTCCAGGGCACGTGTGAGGTCACTGTACCCATGAGATGGTCTGCAGGCTGTACTTCACTCACTGCAGGAGGTAAGGCTTTATCGTCGATTCAAGCATGGACCTTGCAGGACACAGCAACTGGCCCAGCCCTGAGTTCTGGCAATCTTTACTCCATGTTTAAAGTCTCTATTTTTCCCTGAACAGAAGAGACTAAGCTCCTCGCACCATGACCTGTGCCCTAAATTTAAGCGCCAAAGCTGTGACCTCTAGTGCTCATTCCCTTTGCCTGAACAGGAAGGAGGGCAGCTTCATCTTCAGAGACCCAGGAGGAGCCTCAGCTGTCATGAGATGGGCACATAACCAAGCATATGGACCAACAGGAACTGTGCTGGTATTGGGCACTCTCGGGTGCTGCCTGGCCACCTCTCAGTGCAGCCACCATTCTTCCTACTGGACAGGGCTAGTTATGGAAGTTGGAGAACCACTGAGGATTTTAAACCTCTGCCTCAGTGAACAGCTATCATAGGGAGCAAGAACCAGAATTGGGGTCCGCGTGAACCCAGCAGAAACACAAAGTTCTCCATCTAAGTGTGAGTACGAGGACTGAGTCAAGGCACGTCCTTCAGATGGAGACACTTTGAAGTGCAGTAGATGAAGAACATCTGAAGCAGAACGACTTCAGATAGCGGCAAGGAAACTGCTTTGAAATCCTAAAATCCTAAGAGAGGCCCAACAAGAAAGAACAATGGCTAAGGAAAGGCAGCAGATACGCACAAGACCTGAGAACAAGTTTCTAGGTGATTGTAAGAACAAACACTGCCACTACTCACTCACAAGATAAGATTGTCTGAGACGGGTACCCCACTTCCTCCGAAATTAAGACTCCACAAACTCATTGATAAAAAAGGGAGATTAATCTAAGGAATAATAGTCTATAAATGTAGACAACAATTTTACTTTCATGAAAAAGAACTTACTATTTGCTTCCAGGAAAATTAGAAGGGCACTGGCTATGAAGAGAAATTTTAAGTCCATCTCAAACACAATTGTTCTCATTTCTCCACACATAGCCTGACACTATTTATTAACACTATTTATTAACAGCACTTACACTTTGGCAGAATTTAGCTTAGCATTTACATAGATTATTTTATCAAATCTTCAAAACATTCCTCCGAAATCAGATTCTAGAAGATTTTATTCAGCCACAGAGAGCAACTGCTCACAACAGCCTTGGTGAGAAATCCAGTTTTCAGAAAGCCACTGTCACACCTGCAGATGCTGAGAGGCAGGAAGAACAGAAATGCTCTCCCTTTCTGCAAAGCCAGACCTGAGTCACCAATATGGTTTTTCATGCCCCTGTTCCTGTGAGCTGCACAATACAGCCCCCTCTGACCATCTTGACTATGCACGGGGGTAAGGTGGTGCGGGGGAGCTTCTATGTCTGAACTTCCCCTCCTATCTAAACTTTACTTGTGTCATCTTGGGAAAGAGAGCAAGTTGGCAAAAGTCCTTGCAACGGCAATTGTCAAATATCTGATATTTCAGAGTTCTAAAGAAAAGTTGCTTTCCCGAAAAGCAAGGGTCAACCACAGCTTCCATTCTAGATGATATTGTGCAATGTTTATCAGAAGATTCACAAGAAATAACTTGTGTTTTAGCTGTTTGAGTCACATACCAGTTGGAAAAATCAAAGACAAGAATGGTTAAATGGAATAGCATGCAACTGCAAACAATAATAATTGGAAATTGCAGAGCAACATAGGGGATGCTATAGGTTAACAGGGATACTAAATACAAGCTGTATCTCCACTATTATTAGAACTATAAAGTAAAGAGCAAATGCATTTATGTATAGGAGTTGGAAAGGTGTCTGAAAATCTTTGGAGTTTGAGCACAGAATGGCCTTAATAAGATACTAATATTGCAGTTAGAAAAAGAATAACAATGATCAAACTACAACAAAATCCCAGAAAATTGCCATGACTTAAGCATTTGGAACCAAGGGCTGCCATGATCCAGACACTTGCATCAGATGTGTCACAAATGATGGCCTTTTGCTAAGGAGAAGAAGAATTCTGATCATTGGTAACCATGTCTCCCTGGTCTTGTCATTACTCAAGCAGAGTACTTGAAATTTTTTCTATGACAGCAATTAAGAATCTAGGGAAAGGGATGCAGGGAACAAGTAGAAAGGCAAACCTCTAAGTATTAACTGTAGCCCAGAGAATCTGAAACAAGCTTCATGGCTGGGCACGAGGAACTGACTCAAACCAGTGCCTCAAGCCAGTCAGAAATATGAGACTTGTATTGGGATTTCAGACTCTAGGGGGTAACCTCAGTTAGCTGAGAAAAGGATAACATATCTGTAGTTGTTATAAGTAACAATTGTTAAGGGTAATAATTCTATAAACTCATCTCCCTCTTTGTTTTCCGTATCTTCCATTTTCCTCTTTGTAAAGTATACACATTCTTTTAAAAATATACTTTCCAAAAGGGTTATAAATTATTGTCACTTGAATCTACTTGTTAGCAAGTAGACAAAAAAAAGTACTTGTCAAAAAGTACTTTCCAACTTGTCATTACATTCTGAAGCTATGTTATTAAAATTGTTTGTCTAAAAACAATAAAAACATATTTTCTCGTAGCTGAAACAATAGTATAGCAGCTAAGGCATTTACCTTGCTTGCAGTCAACCCAGGTTAGATTCACGGCATCCCAGATGGTCCCCTTAGCACCACCAGGTGTGGCCCAAGAACCAAAAATAAATAAATAAATACTTTCTAATGTGCCAGCTCAAAAACATAATCCTTCCATTTATGGGCAATCTATCAGAAATCTGGAAAAAGTATCTCTGCTGGATATATATTGTATTGCTCCACTTCACGAGAAACAAAGAAAACTGGGGCTGGAAATAGAAAAAGAAATTCCTTTTGAATCTGGAACAACTCATAATGGTTCTGATATCAAATGAAAAGGGATTAGCACTGTAGCACTGTCCTCCTGTTGTTCATCGATTTGCTAGAGTGGGCACTAGTAACGTCTCCATTGTGAGACTTGTTGTTACTGTTTTTGGTATATTGAATACGTCATGGGGAGCTTGCCAGGCTCTGCCATGCGGGCGGGATACTCTCGGTAGCTTGCCGGGATCTCCAAGAGGTATGGAGGAATCGAACACGGGTCAGCCACATGCAAGGCAAACGCCCTACCCGCTGTGCTATGTGCTATCGATCCAGCCCCAAAAAGGGATTAAACTGCAGAAAACTGACTGTTCACGCTGGCAGTTCAGGACATTTAACTGCAGATTCCTGAATCTTGGCTTCCTCAACATTCCAATGAGAAAATTAGGAGAGACAGATTCTCTGGGTTACACTGCAAGTCTAGGAGTCTATGATCCTAAGTGAATTAAGAAAACAAATGAAATATAATTTAGGAAAATAACCCACTCAATTTCCTTCAGGCTAGCGGAGACGAAAGCTGGACTGCCCCTAACAATGACTGTTCTGGCTTGGTGGAAATAACTGTGAGGCAGGGAGGGAGGTGGCCCTGGGTCGTCCACGGGTCGTAGTCCTTCTGACTGCATCACCTCAACATCCTGACTTTATTCTTTGCCTTGTCTTGGTCCAAGTAGTGCAGAAAAACGTAAGCCTCCGAGGTGTTGTAGAAAATCTAAATCTCAAGCAACACTTCCAGAGAGTCATTTAAATAAAATCAAGACACCGAAAAAAAAAAAAAAAGAAAATAGAGATTTCAGGGACCAAAGTGACAGTACAGTGGTAGGGAGCTTGTCCTGCACTTCTCCGACCTCGTTCAGTACCCGGCACTGTGTGTCATCTCTTGAGCCCTTCAGGAATGATCCCTGAGGGCAGAGCCAGAGAAAGCCCTGAGTATGGCTTAAAAACCAGGTATGGCCTAAAAACCCAACGAAACTTTTACAAAATCGCTCCAGGCCTCAAAGACTTAAGTGCAAGGCAGTTGTACTGTAATCCTTCTTGAGCAAGCCTGACTCAGATGATTGATTAGAAACACTTCTAGTACTGAGGCCACCTCTAGGAGGGATCACTCTTTAAAATAAAACAAAACACTCAGAGTTATTAAGTTCTGTAGAGTTGTAGCCATGGGGAGTTGGAGCCATGGTAAAGAGGTAGGCACTGCCCTTCCATATGGCCGAACAGGTTCCATACCAGCACCAAGTAGGTTCCCCTGGGCACTGCCAGGAGTGAATCTGGAGCCAAGAAAAAGTCCTTAGCACTGCTGGGTGTGACTTCAAAACAGAAACAAGCTTTATAGAGTATTTTAAGAGATGATAAAGTGAGTGTGACCCCTGTCTTTCATTTGTAAAGCCCCAGATCTCAGCCACCATGTGCCAGTCTACTGCACTCTGTCAGCCTCAAGCACCACTGGATGTGGTACCACAGCAAATAAAACAACAATGAATAAAAAAGTCACTGTCACTGACCTCCCG